ATACCCTGAAAACTACAAGACACTCTTAAGAGAAATTAAAGAGGACAATAATAAATGGAAATTCATCCCATGCTCTTGGGTAAGAAGAATTAATATTGTCAAAATGGCCATCCTATCTAAAGCAATCTACGGATTCAATGCAATCCCTATCAAAATCCCAACAGCATTCTTCAACAAACTGGAACAAATAGTTTTAAAATTCATATGGAACCACCAAAGACCCCAAAGAGCCAAAGAAATCCTGAGAAGGAAGAATAAAGTAGGGGGGATCTTGCTCCCCAACTTCAAGCTTTACTACAAAGCCACAGTAATCAAGACAATTTGGTCCTAGCACAAGAACAGATCCATAGATCCACGGGACAGAATAGAGAGCCCAAATATAAATCCACACATATATGGCCAATTATTATATGATAAAGGAGCCATAGATATATAATGGGGAAATGATACCCTCTTCAACAGCTAGTGTTGGCAAAACTGGACAGCTACATGTAAGAGAAGGAAACTGGATTACTGTCTTACTCCATACACAAAAGTAAACTTGAAATGGATCAAAGACCTGAATGTAAGTCATAAAACCATAAAACTCTTAGAAAAAAAACATAGGCAATAATGTTTTGGACATAAACATGAGTGACTTCTTCATGAACATATCTCCCCGGGCAAGGGAAACAAAAGCAAAAATGAACAAGTGGGACTACATCAAGCTAAAAAGCTTCTGTACAGCAAAGGACACCTTCAGTAGAACAACAAGGCATCCTATAGTATGGGAGAATATATTCATAAATGACATCCGATATGGGGTTGACATCCAAAATTTATAGAGTTCACGTGCCTCAACAACCTAAAAGCAAATAACTCGATTAAAAAATGGGAAGAGGATCTGAACAGAGACTTCTCCAAAGAAGAAATTCAGATGGCCAATAGGCACATGAAAAGATGCTCCATATCGCTTATCATCAGAGAAATGCAAATTAAAACCACAATGAGATATCACCTCACACCAGTTAGGATGGCCAACCTCCAAAAGATAAACAACAACAAATGCTGGCAAGGATGTGGAGAAAGGGGAAACCTCCTACACTGCTGGTAGGAATGTAAATTAGTTCAATCATTGTGGAACACAGTATGGAGGTTCCTCAAAAAGCTCAAAATAGAAATACCATTTGACCCAGGAATTCTACTCTTAGGAATTTATCCTAAGAAAACAGAATCACAGATTCAAAAAGACATATGCACCCCAACGTTTATCACAGCACTATTTACAATAACCAAGATATAGAAGCAATCTAAGCATCCATCAGTAGATGTATAGATAAAGAAGATGTGGTACATATTCACAATGGAATATTATTCAGCCATAAGAAGAAAACAAATCCTACCATTTGCAACAGCATGGATGGAGCTAGAAGGTATTATGCTCTGTGAAATAAGCCAGGCATAGAAAGACAAGTACTAAATGATTTCACTCATCTGTGGAGTATAACAACAAAGCAAAAATGGAAGGAACAAAACAGCAGCAGACTCACAGAACCCAAGAATGCTCTAACAGTTACCAAAGGGAAAGGGACTACGGAGGGTGGGTGGGAAGGCAGGGACAAGGGAATAAAGGGGCATTATAATTAGCAGCCATAATGTAGGGCGAGTGTACGGGGAAGGAAGTATAGCACAGAGAAGACAAGTAGTGACTCTATAGCATCTTACTATGCTGATGGACAATGATTGTAATGGGGTATGTAGTGGGGACTTGATAATGGGGGGAATCTAGTAACCACAATGTTGCTCATGTGAAACCTGAGTATAAGATTGTATATCAATGATACCTTAATTTAAAAAAATGAAGCTGAAAAGTAATTTTTATTCATCACACTTAACTCTAGTTCACATACTTTTCTTAACAGGCAGGTCAAGCCATAATCTTCCCTAACCCACCATCTCTTTAAAAAAAAAACAGCCTCTTAGAAATGACCACACTGAAATGCTGGCTTAGTTCACTTTTCTACCCTAGTACCACAGCACTCCCAGTCCAGCTACACTGGAATCTGTTTGTCCGTGGATATTCAATGAATATAGCGGTATCACCTCCACCAAATTCCATTTGACACTGCTTCACATCTACTAACATCACTACCATATGACTTACTCATTACATTGATCTGAGTTACTCTGGACAATATCTAAAAGAACTCAAGTGCTCCTAGACACTGACTAAACATCACTGGGATAATGGCAGAATATATGCTATCTGAAAATCTGTATTATAGTACCAACTCCTCCCTGCACACAATGGCATTACACCAACTCCAAGGGGATTAAAAACTTTGCTCTCTCTCACTGTCTACAGAAATGTTGATAAAGTTAAGACACATCTCGAGCTATTAAGGACAGATCTGAAGGGCATCAGGTTGACATCTCTCAAGGAGCATTCACTGAGAGGATTTCAGGTAGATTAGTACAATTCAAGTCATCTACTCATGCTGGACATACCACTTGGATTTTCCCTTTCCCTACTCTCACAAAGTAAGATGAACTGGCTCTAAAGTTTATGACAGAATCAATTTAGGTTGCTTGACTATTTGAGTAAGACAGTGGCAGCCTGGAAAATAAAATGGCAGCCCAGAAAACAGAGAATGATAAACCAGGAAGAATCCTAAATCCTCACTGACCAAACTTCTATTTTTACAAATGGTAAAATTCAGGTTCACAAAACTAAAAATTTACTCAACCTCGTAGAGCCAGCTAGTGGCAGTGTTGAAATTAGCATCCCGGTTCTCTTTGTGCCAAGCTGAAGATGGCTCCAATAAGTACATTCAATATCAAATATGCCTCAAGAATGGAACCATCCATCCTTCCAAGAAAGCACTTACTTACCAGGTAATTCTGCCCCAGCTGTCTAAGCAAGTGCTGAACAGGCACTAAATGTAAATAAGGCCATCTTAATGTGAGTATCTAAAATTTTTGTCTTTTGGAGTATAAAATATAATAAAGTGTTTTTTTTTCAAATTTAAGACTAGATTACAAAAGCTACACAAATTACATTATTTCTACTTTATCAAGTTTATGTACATTTTTAGTACAGAATGCATCTTTTATATTCTTTTAAAACATAAGTTTCCATTAGTCCAAGACACTGTATGTACGTATGGTTGTGAATGTATATGTGTAGGCTTTTTTTCTGACATCCACTTTATATATACAAATGTACATACATATAAAGTATATTATCCTTGTTTTTTAAGGGCTCTTTGAGAATTTTGTTTAAATCTCTGTTTAAGTACTGTCACATACACTAAAATAATGCAAAAATTTGTGTAGGTATAAAATAACATCTTATAATTGGGTTAGTCATTCCTTTCCCAAATGATTTAATTATAATATGCAGTGCAAAATAAAAAGTCATGGAATGTTAGAGGTGAATGAATATAGATTTTTATAGATCCCCTATGCATCCTTGCTTATATAATGCTGCAGACTTGGGGCCCCAGAAGAATGACTTACCAAGACAATAACTCCCATTAGTAGCAGAAACAGAACCATACCCAGGTATCTAAATGTCATGTCTAGGGTTTTTTCCCATTATACTGCCATTTTGTCTGCATATCTTTTACCTCTCAATGAACTCTATTAAGTGGTGACACACCCCGAAGTCTGGCCTATGAGTTCCTGAGGATCAACATCTCAAATACCCCATCTTTAAGATGCTGCCAAGAGTTTACTCTTGTTCAGGCCACAATAGGACAAACCATCAAATGGTCAAACACAATCAAGTGACTGACAGGAACTTGAGTCAATTTTTATATTCTGACTAAAGTGGGCAGACAACATGTGCCAGGAAAGCAGAGTCCAAGGGGCAAATCAGAAGAGCTGCACAACAAGTACCAGCTGGTAGCAGCTATCTTTAGACTGCCACTCCTAGGCCTTTCTCTCTGCTCTTGGTTGGCAGCATCTGTCTTAAGAAAGTCCCCACACTGGACGCAGACACAGTATTTTGGCAGTAAATCCATTCAAACAAAGTTATAACCATAGAGTTTATCAGGGACTTTGACTTTATTTTTCACAATTGTCTTTCAGCCAAGAAGAGAAGAAATTAATTATCACTCCACCTAATCATTATTTGCCATTCTTCTGAGTATATACTTTGGCACAAACTGTCAGTTTGCCTGCACTCTTGTTGGGAATGTTTATTATTCTTTCTCTTACTCCAAGCCTTCTGCCAACTACCAAAAATAAAAACTGTGCACACAGTGGGGAAAGGGAGGAGGATCCCACAGCTGTCAGCTATGACCACTGAGAAAGGCAAGCTAAGCAAAGGCTCCCACCTGGAGCCCCATAATTTGCTCTCTGGGGGCTGGAATCCTTGTGCCAGAGATAAGGCAGATCTGTGTTCCACTCTCAAGCATAATTCAGAGGCGTGTGAAGCCATCCAATAATTCTGAGCTTAGACTGACCTTGCCCAAACCATAGCTCAATATCTTAAAGGAAAAAATCACTGGAGCAAAGGTACTTTCTTTAGAAAATAACTTGCCACAGGCAATTTTTTGCTGCCCCCACACTTATCTGTAGTAACCAGAGGCCAGAACAAAACCTTTAGTGAAGATGCTTAATTCCCAATTCTTTAGGAAATGGTGGGGCAGTTCCTCGGTTAGCTTGGATATCCCCTTGTCCCAGACATGGGTGCTAAACATATCTGACAGTACCAGCAGATTGTCCCTTTGGAACAACAACCTGCAGAGTAAGGATAATTGCAGAGCAAGAGCATCACTTGCACAGCTACAGATCCTGTCTTACAAGGTCAAGGCCACTAAAGGGAAAGGCCTAAAGTTCTAGCTGTAGCCACCACTTTCCAACCCACTTCCACTTCCAAAGAGTCCAGAAACCCATTCGCCTGAGACATCTGGGCTGGGAGTCACCCTGAATCCTCCTCTCCCCCTGAGTGTGGAAGAGCTTAAAGGCCAGAGCCACCAGCTAAGGGAAACAGCTCATGGAAGCCTTCCACTTACTTCTCATTGTGCTAATAAGAGCGTTGCCATCTTTGATCACGTCTTTGATGAATTTATTGGTCCTCTCCAGCTCCTGCTCATAACACTTGAGCCTCTCTCGGAAATCAGGGCTATCCAAGTAGCAGTCGCTGAACTCCAGCGGTGGATGTCCCATGGTTCTGATGGCAGGGGCTGGAAGGACAGAGGAAAGACACAAAGACCAAGAGCATCAGTGGCACAGAACAGGAAGTATATGGGATGGAATGAGGACGGGACCCGCTTAGGAAGCTTGTAGCCTCCCTCCCTTAGGAGAACAGGTAACTACCTGTTTGGAGGAGATTCCTGCGGAGAGATGTCTGGTCTGTACCAGAAACGGGCGGCCGAAAGATCACTTCAGGTAACAGGGAGCGCCGATTAAGGCAGTCGGATCCCAGCGAGGTGCAGCCTAGCAAGCAGCATGGCCCCTAGGCATCGCCTCCCCTGACAGGAAGCAGAAAACGCAACCCGGCTTGCCTCCGGAGCCCGACCGGATCCTTTATGAGCAATTGCAAACGTGACACTTAGGCCAGCCCAGGGTGTAGGCGGGGGGTGAGCGCCGGGGTGGGAGTCGCCTCTCCTTCCTCCTTGCTCCTGAGCTGGCTGAAGATTTCCTTCGCCAAAGTCGGCGGGCAACCCAGATTGCAAGGTCCCCTCCCCCTTCTCAAAGTCAGCGCCGCCGCCCGGCCCCAGAGAAGCCCTGTACCGAAACGAGGGCTCAGGCTCCGTTTTCAGTCGTCTTCCTCGCCCCCTAGGGTTTCGTTACCCGAATCCTCTGACTCGCAAGAGTTCCTCCTAGTTCAAGGGAACTGGCCTGCTGTCCCGTTAGGCGCGGAAGAGGTTAAACCAGGGCGGCCACGAAATTTAGCCTTCCTCCACAGACACGCAAGCGGGAGTGACGAAGGCTACAGCTCGACGCACAATAGCTGCGGTAGCTCCGCGCTTCTCTGCGGAAACCCGGGAGCATTCAGTGCCCTAGGGCTCCAGCTGGAAAGCGTGGCGGCCTGGGAGATGTAGTCTTCCCGTTTCACGCCCCATGACTCCTCCCTGCAATCTCCCCACTGCTGGCCGAGCGGCCGTTCTCCCCAAAGGCATTCCCAGCCCGCTCCAGGCTCCCTCGCCGGGCCCACCCCAGAGGGCAGGTGCGCCACGCACGCTGGAGGCTACGTGGAAAGTATCCGAAACTGGAACAGGAACACGGGAGGAATTGACTTCTGGGAGCCATCTCTCATTTCCCATTTTTTGGCTCGATTGTTCTTTTTCCTTCCTCCCTTTCTCACCTCCCTCTGACCCACCAATTTCTTTTCTTCTGCTCTTTCCCATAGGCCTTCCCCCTGAAGAACTGACTCCCACCCTAGAATCGCTGTTACTATGCTCACAAGCCAATGCCAAAGAAAGGGAGGCCATAATTAAGAGTTCGCTTTTTCCTGCATAGGACCCCAACGGGTGGTTTTTGTCACCCAACTCATTGCATAGGTTGTTGATTTAAGCACGTGATTTTCCTTGTGTAAGTGGAAAACCTAAGATGTTATAACTTGTCTTGCAGCTCACCCAAGAGGCTTCTTGTCCTTATCTGTTGTCAGAAAATGGGGCTGCTCTTACAGGGCTGTCTTGGGATTGAGTGGCTAGTGTTAGGCAGGAAAATAGATATGAGCGGGGTGGAAAGAGAATAAGGCCAGTAAAGTCCACTAGAAGGTAGTCAAAGAGTAGACCAGTTAAAAATATAAAGCTCAGAAGGCCAGGAGCAACGTGACCTAGAATGTTGAATACTCTCCAGATAAAGAAAAGTATCTCAGCATAGCCTATATTTTCACTGTGTCAGTTAGAAGATATCATTGTAAGATTTACTTTACACCTAATAAAAGGCCCAACTTATTCAGGAAGAATTCTATCTTAAAGCTAAGATTGCATTTTAACCAAACACTCAGTGGCTCAGCCCACCTTGGAGGCAGGGCAGTTTTGACTGATATGCTTCCAGACAGAAGCTGATATCCTGAAAAGGAATCAAAGCAAAATATTTCTTGTGTTATGTTTAAAAAAGGAAAAACTTAATGTCTTAACAAAGATGAACATTTTGGAACAATTTGCCCAATCTGCTCCTGGCCCTTTGTCACATTCCTGAAAATCTTCAACCGCCTATAAAACCCTAGACCCTAAACCCTTAAGGGCACCTCTTCTTTGAGGTAGCCCACACTCCCCTTTCTCTGAGTGTGCACCTTTTTGCTTTAAATAAACTTCTCACTGCTCAACTTCTAAACTTTTCTCTCTGTGCTTTTCCAGTGGTGTCTTTGTTACTTTTCTTTGTCATTCTAATTCTCCAAATTTAAGCTCAAACCTTCACTCCCTCTGTCCTATTTCAGATAAGTAAGGAGGGGCTGCTGAGAGCTCAGATCTGGGCTTGCAAATTACCATTGCCTGGGTTCCCCAGACAGAACTGCAGCTTATGGTCATGCTCTAAAGAGCATGCCTGAAAGTCTCCTTTCTTTGTCTCTAGGAAGTTTGCAGAACATAATCTCACTCCATTCAGTGCTCTGCAGCTCCCCCAAATCCTGAGGTATTAGAGACTCAGTTCCCACACCCTGCAGATCTAAGCAGACACTGGACACCAGGTGACACTGGCTTAAGGAGTTAGTAGGGGATGTGCCCCATGCTGAGTAGCAGTTCAATGAACCTCTTTTGCTATTCTAATTTGTCATTCCCTGACACTCTCACTTTAATAAACCCTTCCTCACCTTGTACTCTGACTTCCCTGTGTCTCTGAATGGACCTCTCCTCCTAACACTAGGGGCTGGAAAATTGTGTGTACATGAGCAAAAAGATCCATTTTGATTTGGAGAAGTGTTTAGATTACACTGCCCTGTAAAGAAAGCCAAGAAAAGCCAGAACTGAAGGAGGCTTTTAATAGAGTCCTAATGGCTAATCCACCATATTAGTGCCTCATTGCTGCTGTAACAAATTACCACAAACTTGTGTACTTACAGCATCACAAATTTATCTTGCAGTTTGAGAAGTCAGAAATCAGAAATGGACCTCACTGGGCCAAATCAAGATGTCAGAAGGGCTGTGCTCTGAGGAGGAACACATCCCTTGGAGGGGAAAATTCATTTCCTTTCCTTTTCTAGCTTCTAGAAGCTGTCCACATACTTTGACTCTTAACCCCTTTCCTCCAAAGCCAGCAGTGGCTGATAGTCTCCTACTTCATTACTCTAACATGGACTCCCTGCCTCCCTTTTTCATTTACAAGGACCCACCAAATAACCCGGGATAATCTCCCCATGTCAAGATCAATAACATCTGCAAAGTCCCTTTTGCCATATAAGGTAGCATATTCACAGGTTCCAGGAATTGAGAAAGGGACATCTTTGGAGGGATGATCTCCTACCTTCCACACAACCTATAACCCTATAACACACCTCACTAATCCTCAAAACAAAACAATCCTATAAGGTTAATATTATTATATCCATATAAATATAAGATAGCTGAATTAGGAGAGGTTAGGTGACTTGCCCAAGGACACACAACTAGTTAAGTGGCAGTGCTTGAACCTGAGCCTAGCCCGGCTGGTTCTAAAGTGGTACTATATTGCAGTATGGTTTCCAATGAGGAAACAGCCTCTGAAAATTAACAAGTAGCCACATCACAGGGAAAGATTTTATTTCCTACTTTTTTACCTTTATATTTTTATTTTTAGTTTATCTTTATTTCCTACTCTTTTTATCTTTATGAGAAATGTCCATAATGGGCTTTAAAAGCACCAACATGGGTACTAAGGGAAGGTGCCCAATATGGTCTTTCATTCTAGCACAGTTCCCTATTGCATTCATTCACTAATTCAGTATGCTTTTACTGAACACCAGCTACATGCCTTGACTTATAGAGCCAACTCTCATATTTTTATCACTATGGACATTACCATTGCCATTATTGATGTTAGGTATAATCATGCTTATCTAACTTCCTATACCAAAGTTTATTTTTACAGTCATCTGTGTTATCCCTCATCTAGACAATAAAACTGAAATGCAACAGAAAACAAATGTCCTGGGCCAAAAACCAAAGAACAAAGAGGATTAGAATTCGAACTCAGTCCTTCACATAATAGCTGTATTAATGGAGCATTATCGTAGATGCTTTGCACATGTTATACCTAACCCTCATATATAGGATTGCGGTCTTCAAATTTTTATTCACATAACCCATAAAAGAATTTTGAGATGCTATGTACTCCCTCACACATTTTTAGGTTGACATCTAGATTTTCTCAGTTTTGAAATTTTTCATTGAATTCTAAATACCAGGACAATTTGATACCCACCACCAAACATTAAACACAAAAGTGTAAACTTTTCTTTAACCATCAGAAAATTTACAATGTTCCTTTTTTCTCCCTGAAATCAAATATCCATTGCATTTTCCTCATAGAATTATATTCTCATAATATATCTTTAAACTTGAAAGTCCTCTCTTGATCACCATAATGAATATCTCTGCACAAATATATGTCTAGAAATGGAAATTGAATTATTTTTATCTCCTTGTGTGCATAAGGCTCCAAATATAAAAAGTCTTCTGGTCATAATTACAATTACTATACATACACAATATATAAAAATTACATGAAGATATTATACATTATGCTGATTATTATTAAACATAAAACATAAAAGTTTATTGGAAATACATGTCTTAGTGAGGTGGATGGGGAGTGGTAGGTTATAAGGCCTTGACTTAGAGAAGATTCTTGGACATCAGTATTTGAAATTGTTACTTTGTTTAAGCCCCAGGGATTTTTGCACCCTGGGTCAAAGTACGGCAGTAATATTCATGACCTTTGAAAGGTATGCTTTCCTTTGGAGACACTGGGAAAAGGAATTGGAAGGCCAACAGGAAGTGAGTTCTCAGGCAAATAGTTGGTTAGGAAATAGCACTAAAGGAAGTTGAGGATTTGGAAATTGGTTCCCTTTCAGCTTTATTCATCATTACTAAGACTTTGAAGGATACAAGACGCCCTTCTGTAGGTGAATGTATAAATAAACTGTGGTACATCCAGACAATGGAATATCATTCAGCACTAAAATGAAATGAGCTATCACAACAGGAAAAGACGGGGTGGGTAGATCTTAAATGCACATATTACTAAGGAGAAGAAGCTAGTCTGAAAAGTCTACATTCTGTATGATGCAACTATATGATATTCTAGAAAAGGTAAAACTATGGAACAGTAAAAAAGATCAGTAGCTGACAGTGGGTAGCAGGGGAGACATGAATAGGTGGAGTACAAGGGGATTTTTATGGCAGTGAAAATACTCTGTATAACACTATAATGGTGAATACATATCATTATACACTTGTTCAAACCCATAGAATGTACACCATTCTAATATAAACTATGGATTTGGGTGATCATGATACATCAATGTAGGTTTATCAGCTGTAACAACTGTACCAATCTGACAGGGGAAATGGATAATGACAGAGGCTATGCATGTGGGAGGGGTAGGAGTATATGGGAAATCTCTGTACTTCCCTCTCAATTTTTATGTGACCCTAAAACTGCCCCAAAATTATTTTTTTTAAATGTTGGGGTAGACAAATTCCATTTTCCTTGTTTCATGTATGTCAAGGTAACACTACCTCCACAGTCTTAATACAGAACAGTATCTCTTTCCTAAATAATTACTCTTTCAGCTGTGATGCTGTGGAAAGAACACTGAGCTTGGAGCAATACAGGTAATACAGAGCCTAAATTGAATCTAGTTCTGTCCCTTAAAAACTCTGCAATCTTGAGCAAGTCATGTAAACTTTTCTTGGAATGAGATCTTCTTCACACATTTTTCTAAGTATTAACTATAGGTAATGTATGTGGAAGGACCTAGTTTATAACTCCTCAATATATGTTGGTTGAACCCAATGCTTTTTCATTGCTCTTACTCTGTTGGACAGCACCAGAGGCCGAGAAGAGTCAGATTGCTCCCCATTTTATTCCTAGACAAATATTAGTATTTATGTAACAACAC